ACACCCCCCTCTTATCAACCCCATCACTCTTCTGGGGCTCATCTCCTGAATCTTTCTGCCAACACTCCCATCCCAGAGGATGATAAAGCCCCTCTGTTAAGCACCTGGCACTTCCCAGCTTTATCCTCCCCAGCTCTGGCTTATCCAGGGGCAGAGCCAGCTCTTGGACAGCTCCTGCAATATTCCGTGTCCTTCCTCAAGGATTTTCTGAGAGATTTGTCTGAGCAGTGCTGATCTCTTCTTGACAGATAACACAGAACAGCAGGATTTGGCTGCAGCCCCACGACCCAGGGATGGGCTGAGCCCAGGCTGTGCCCCGGGCTGGGACAGCTCCTGGAGGGGAGGCTGGGGAGGGACAGGCACACAGGACATTGCTGCCACAACCCTGGTCCCTGCAGTTCCAGCCCTGCCTGGGCAGCTGTGCCGGGGCTGGACAGCCCTTCCCAGGAAGGGATTTCCCTAAAATCCCACCTAAACCTCTCCTGGCCCAGCCTGGGGCCGTTCCCTCTGCTCCTGTCCCTGTTCCTGGAGCACAGCCCGACCCCCGGCTGTCCCCTCCTGGCAGGAGCTGTGCAGAGCCACCAGGGCCCCTGAGCCTCCTTTGCTCCAGGCTCAGCCCCTTCCCAGCTCCTCAGGGATTCTCCAGCCCCTTCCCAGCTCCTCAGGGATTCTCCAGCCCCTTCCCAGCTCCTCAGGGATTCTCCAGCCCCTTCCCAGCTCCTCAGGGATTCTCCAGCCCCTTCCCAGCTCCTCAGGGATTCTCCAGCCCCTTCCCAGCTCCCTCAGCCTCTCCTGGGGCTCCAGACCCTTCCCAGCTCCGTTCCCTGCCCTGGACATGCTCCAGCCGCCTCCATGTCCTTCGTGTCTTGAGGGGCCCAGAACTGACCCAGAACTGATCCAGAGCTGACCCAGAGCTGGCCCTGGGCTGGGGATGCCCCAGAGCCAAGCCCAGCACAGGAGGGATGTTTTAAACCCGGCCAGGGCCGGAGGAGCACGGGCTGGAGAGAACCTGCAGTGCCCACAGGCCTGCTCCAAAGGCATTCCCACCTTTCTGCAGCCCCCAGCCTTCTGCAGGCGCTGCCTTGGTGCCAAAGCCTCCACCCTGCTCCCACTTCAGTGATCCATTCACCTTCTCTCCTGCCTCTCCACCCCAGAGCAGCTCCTGCTGGCACTCAGCCTCAGCATGACTGCACCTGCATGAGGCTGAACACGTCCCCTGATCCATTTCCAGAAAGGTTTTGTTCCAGGTTTTGTTGTCCCGAGGCCAAGCTTTGCCCAGTGCTCCCTGGCCAGAGGAGCTGGCTCCAGGGCTCTGCAGGCTCCCTCTGCCCATCACCACTGCTGCTCCCTAACAGAGTCTTTTACACACTGTCGACCTGCTCCTCCACAGCCATAAATCCTCCAGCAGCTTCAAGTGGAACAGAATGTAGAGATGTTATCCCTAGGCCTCGCCGAGCCTTCTGAGGCCCATTATCTCCCCATCTTTTCTTTTAAAGGAACGTTATTTGACAGCCTAGCCTTTCTCATCCTTCTTTTCTGCCTTACTGCTCTGACCTTGAGTTAGTTTATTCCTTCCTTCTCTGTATGTTTTAAATGTTGCACCAAAAAATCCAATTTATTAAGGCTTTCCTTTAGTAAATGATTAACCTGAATATGGTTAAATGAAATGCTTATTAACATCTCCCTGCATAATCCATTTAACAGAATTAGTCTTGCTTATTCAGACAACCTAAAGGGGTCTGTGCTTTTGTCTACACAGCATCAGCATTAAAGCTTATAATTATTTCTGGTTAATGCAGCCCTTGGTGCTAGGAAATGCTGGTTTGTGTGTTCCAGCATAGCACTTCTCCTAATCTCCTGTATTAATTAGAGATACTGATATAATATTACTTTGTTCCTTTCTATTCAGCACCAGGAGAGATGTCTGAATATAATCCTATCTGTGCTAAGGGTGTCTTAAATATTTCCACAAGTGCTGGCTGGTGTAAAACATTGGGATTAGGTCCAATAATCCCTAAATTGGAAGGAAGGAGAGCTTACAAAGGCACGTGGGCCCCGAGGTGTGCCTGGCACTGGGGGGTGCCACGGCCCAGGCAGGGATTGTTCCTTGCCCCGAGGGGACATTTAAAGTCCCCCCGACCTCAGTGCCCACCCCCAGCCCTGAGGGTCCCTCCCCAGCCCCCGGGGATGCTCTGAGTGTGTCCCCTGTCCCTTTCCAGAGGGATGCAGCCACTCTGGCTCTGAGCAAAATCTGACTTACAAAATGAAAGTAAATTATTACCCCCAGTGGCTGCAGCTGACATTTTAAACTCGTCGTGTCTTCTGAATCCTGGGTCATTTGGTATTTCAGACATCAGGCTGCTCGTGGAGCTCGTTTTAATCTTTTCCTAGATGGAAATTCACTTTCTTTTCAGGCATTTCAAGGTGTCACTCCCCGGGCTCTGAGGTGAATTTGCAGCACCAGATCATAAAGTCCTGGAATCGTTTGGGTTGGAAAAGCCCTCCCAGACCATGGAGTCCAAGCATGCCCAGCAGTGGCAGGGCCAGCCCTGAGCTGTGTGCCCAAGTGTCACATCCACGGGGCTTTGAGATGCCCCTGGCACGGGGAACTAAACCTCCCTGGGCAGCTGTGCCAGGGCTGGGCAGCCCTTCCCTGGAGAAACCCCCAGAGTCCATCCTGACCCTCCCTGGGCACAGCTCTCCTTCCCCTCTGGGCACCCAAACCCTCTGGAATCAGCTCTGTGCCACGCTGGGATGGGCTTGGAAATGCCCAGGGTGGCTGCAGGTGTAATCACAGCCTCAAACAATTCCAGCTTTTACTCAAAGCCTGATCACACACCCCTCCACCATTAACTCCCCGCATAAATATTGAGACTGGGAGCTCGTGTGTGTGTGTGTGAAACAATGGCATGGTAATATTTCAGTGGGGGGAAAAAGGCAGCTGGTTTATGCTGCTCTCAGACATTTAAACCTGTTCATTTTTCCCTAAACTGAGGGCTTAGTCTGACACAGAGAACCATCCAAAAGTGCTTTGAAAATCACCAAGCCCAAAGTGACCTTGCATGGCCTCGCACAGGAAAGCAAGGACTGCTCAGTCCTTACCAAAATAATTACTCAGGGTAGATCAAGGACTGAGCAGACCATGCTAAGAGTCTTTAAATTTTAAAGGTGTGTTTATTTTTAAAGTTTATACATCAGCACAAAGCTACGAAATTTTATTAATAACCAGCAACAGCGTTCTGCTTGGCCAGCAAAGAATTCAGGGAGCCACAGGAAAAATTAATCAAAATTCTGAGGGGGAGAAGAAAAAGTCTGCAGGAGATTATTAATTTTTAAGAATTTTTAAGAGTCTAGCCCAATATTTTAAACTGTGTGTCATCCAGCAGGCCTCGTGTGACATCATAATTGATAATTAAGCTTCTCCAGGTTTGCTTCTCCTTCAGGTTTCTTTTCCATCCAATTCTCCTGCTTAGGCAGCTTTGGGAACTGTAACTTTTCTATTATCTCCCAAGTCAGTGCATTTTCCCCCCATTAACTCCCCTCCTGCCTTTGTGCAGAAACAATCCAGGTATGATTTAATAAGCCCTGGGAAGACAGAGCTGGTTCATATGCAGGAAATCAGATTTACATAATTTTCCGCTCGCTTTTATAGCTACTGTAGTTCAAATTATCCTTAAGTTGGGGAAACTCTCTTCATACCATAAAATGAAATAGCACCTGTGTTATGCTTCAGCTTCCTCACCCAGCCCTGGCAATAAATTAAAGGTTGATTTGTCATCCTGACTTAGCACAGAAAGTCCTTTTTTAATGAGAGGAGAGGAAGTGCCCTGGCCTGCAGTTAGTCACAGTCATCAGTCACTAAACTAAGCTTCAAAACCAAGTTCAATCTTGTTTTGTTTTGGGTTTATTACCTGAACCCTTCTGCACGGGGGGGAAGCAGAGGATTTTGGGTTGTGCCACATTCTCTGCGCCAAGTAAAATGTCACAGACCACAGGTGGAGCTGCAGGGGTCTGTACAGAAACCAAAGGACGCTGGTGATTGGGATTTGATCCAGGATTTGGGCTGAACAAGGCTCGGACTGGGAGGCTGCATCCTGGGACAGCACACAGGGTTTGGTGCAGGGAACAGCTCCTGGAGCTCCCCGCTGCCTGTGGCTCTCCAAGAGCAAACCCATGGGTTTCACATGGCATGGTTTGGGTTGGGAGGGCCCTCAGAGCCACCCAGTGCCACCCTGCCCTGGCAGGGACACCTCCCACTGTCCCAGGTGCTCCAGCCCCAGTGTCCAGCCTGGCCTTGGGCACTGCCAGGGATCCAGGGGCAGCCACAGCTGCTCTGGGAATTCTATTCTAGGGCCTGTCCACCCTCCCAGGAACAATTCCTCATTCCCAATCTCCCATCTAAATCAGCTCTCATCCAGTTTAAGGCCGTTCCCTGTCCTGTCAAGGACAGGGTTTCTGCCAGGCCCCTCCCTGGGCACAGCCTGGACATTGCCAGCCCCAGGGACCAGCTCCTCCCTTGCTCCTCAGCACTGCTTTCTTGCTTCCCCTCTTTGCACTTTGTGTGCATTTACCCAGGAATTCGAGAAAGGCTTTGTGGTAAACAAATAAATACAATTTCTTCAAAATGAATATTCATGTCTTCAGCTGAGCACCATTGTCAAACTCTGGCTTCTGGAGCTGGGCACAAAATGAGCTGTTTTCCACCAGAGCTTAATCCAGTCCCCTCTCATTGATTGCACTGCAGATCCTCACGCTCAGTAACTTAAAAACGGATCGATTATTCAGCTGGTTAAAAACGAAGCACTCCCATTTCTGAGTGCTTGCCTTAAAACCAGTTTCTGCTGTGGAGCCAGCGGGGCCGTTCCCTGGGCGGGGAGGCAGCAGGGCTGGGCTGTGCAGGGCAGAGCAGTCCTGCTGCTGCCCCGAGAGGGACTGCTGGGGCAGGGGGACGTGGGGGCCGGGAGAGGGAGCGGTCACTGAGCCCTGTGCTTGCCTTGCAGCTCCCAGCACAGCCCAGTACGGCATCACCGGGCACGCCGAGGTGCTCTTCTCCTGCTGGTCCCTGGTGCTGACGCTGTCCTCCCTCAGCAGCATATTCTACCTGAAGAACATCCTTCTGCACTAAATGTAAAGACCCATAAAAGGCTTTTAAGGATTCTCTGAAAGTGCTGATGACTGGATCCAATCTGGTAGAGTTGGTTAAAAGCGGCGTGGGATATAATCAGTGCTTACATGGGGATGATCGCCTTCTGTAGAATTGCTCATTATGTAAATACTTTAATTCGACTCCTTTTTTTTGATTAGCTGCATTACCTTGTGGAGCAGTACACATTGTCCTTTTTTAAGACGTGAGAACTCTGAAATTACTTTTAGAGGATATTAATTGTGATTTCATGTTTGTAATCGACAAGTTTTCAGAAGCATTCAGTCATGGTCTGCTGAGTCGCAGACTGTAGTTTACAAAAAAAGGATATTGCAGTAAAAATGTGCTTCTTTAAGGCTGCAATACAAACATTCAGCTCCCTTCTCAACTAGCATTCTATCCAAACTTACACAAAAAACATTTGTTCTTTTTTGAGTAAAAAAAAAAATCGAATAATATTGCCTTCAAAATATTTCTTCAAAATACTACACATATCTAGATTTTCTTCTAGCATGATATTCAGGTTTCAAGAATGAGCCTTGTACTATAACTGCGTTGCGCAGTACTGCTTTTGTTCTCTTCCCTCTTTCCTGCCAATTCAGCATGGTTGTGCCTTCATGAAACACGACTTTCCTCTTCCTCTCCAACAGTCTGGAATGTGTTCTGGGAAATGCTGGAGCATCCTTTTGAGCATAAGAGATCTCTTGGTGGGACAGAGGTGCCCCGGGCTCCCGGGAAAGGCTCCTGTGCCCTGCAGGGAGCTGCTCCAGGGCAGCACCAACTCCTCCCTGCCCCTCCCTCCACCAGCCCTGAGCAGTAGGTGACCTCTGTAAAAACGACATTTCCCACTAGCAAACAGAACTCCAGTGACTTTGTGGCACCTTTTGAATGTCGGAATGTTCCCCTAAAGCCAAATCCCCACCTGGCTGTGAATGTCAGGATCGTCCCTTTTGTATTGCTGGCAAAGCCGACGTGAATTGGTATTTTTCTTGCACTCAATTTTGTACTGGTTTGCCTGATTTAGCAATGATAAAGGATGCTTTGAACCATGAGACACCTGCAAATCCCCGGAGTATCAATTTTCCATCTCCACACATCCCCGTGGCAGGGTGCTCCTGCTGAGGGCATGTGGCCGTGCCTGGGAGAGCCACCAGGGCAGGAGAGCTGGGGGAGCTGTCCCCTGGCCAGGGCTGTCCCTGCCAGCCCCCAGACCCTTCCCGTGGAGGGGACCCTGCTGGCACACCCTGGAGGAGCAGCCCAGAAATCCCGTGTGACGGTGCTGTGTCCTTCCCAGCCCTGCACGGCGCTGGTGTGGCGTGCTGCTCACAGCACCCGTGCCACCTGAACTGCCACCTGTGCCACCCACTGCCAGCTGTGGCCAGCAGCCCTTGGGCACCGTCCCCTGGTGGCCCCAAGAGCTCCTGACCTGCTCACCAACAGCTGGAATAACAAAATCCCTGCCACAGAATGCAGGGCTGGGTTGGGCTGGGAGGGACCCCAGGGCCCAGCCCATCCCACCCCTGCCAGGGCCAGGGCCAGGAACAGGGCCAGGGACAGGGACAGGGACACCTCCACTAGCCCAGGCTGCTGCCAGCCCCTCCAGCCTGGCCCTGCTGGGGCAGCACCACTTTCACTGTGATCACTCCCAGGCTGTGTGTGAGCTCCAGCAGGGCACTGGAATCTCCCAGCTCCCAGTTTTTCTGCCCTGGGAGCACTCGGCAGCCCCAAGATCCCCTTTTGCAGCAGGGAGGACTCGGAGCTCCCTGGGCTCAGTGTCCCAGGCCAGCGTGCAGCCAGGAGGTGTGGTGCCTCTGCTGTCCCTGCTGGGAAAACAGAGATGCTCACGCCAAAAGATGGCAATAAAACACCCTGGGTCACCCTGCATGTGGTCAGTGACAGACTGTATTATTTCTCTTATTATTTACAGCCGTGTGCCAAGCAGTTGCTGTGTTCAGAAACGTGGCATTTTTTAAAACCTGGAATAACATGAACAAGCCCATTCTGCCAGGAAAGGGTACAAACTCACCTCAAATGAGTTTATCAGTCCTGATATCCCGATCTCTCTTGTATTGCAGCTTTAAAGTGCTCTATTTTAGAATCCATTCACTAGAAACAGTGGTGCTGCAGGAAGTCTTGTGTCAGTGCAGTTTCATGAAGGGAAAAAGGAGGCTATGGATAACCCAACCCATGTAAAACTGGGAGAGGGTTCTATGCTGTGGCTGGATCGAACCCTGCATTCCAGTGATACTCTGCATTCCAGCGATTCCTGGTATTTGGAACCTGATCTTTCCAGCAACAGGATAGAATGAGCAGCAGCTTGATTAAACATGGAAAAAGGAGTATACAGTGACGTGTTGAACGTTTGCATTCGCACCAGGGAGAGGCGCTGGGTGGCACGGGCGAGAGATCCTGTCCCACATTTGGTGTTCACTTGGGGGGCACTGCTCCTGTCGAGCCCAGAAAGAAAGCCCCAAGGCCACAGGAGCAGCAGAGCCGTGTCTGGGTGCCAGGGGTGTTTTTGAGGGGCAGGGTCATGCTGGGCTGCGAGGGGCAGGGAGCTGAGGGGCTCTGGGGGTTTGGGCAGGGCTGCAGCACAGCACAGGGGTCGGGGCACACACCTGGGCCAGGTGAGCTGGGCTGGGCTCCGTGCTCCCAGGCAGGCTCCAGAGTGCCCACACACTGCCAGGGCTGCAGCTGGGGGGCTGCTGGGGCTGCCTCCAGCCCGTCCTTTGTGGGGCACTTGGGGCAGCGTTTGGAGGTTTGTGCTGTGCTTCCCCGGCCGTGCCTCTGTGGCTTCCCCCCTTCCCCACACCAAAAGAAAAGGTTTAGCTGAGGATTTCCAGCAGGTGCTGCCCCGTTGGAGCCCCAGGCTGGGAGGGACTCCTGGTGCAGTGTCCAGGGCTGTGTCCCCACACGAGTGAGCGGTGACACTGCTGTCACACGGCTGCTGGCCCTGGAACCCAGCTGACACTCAGCTGAGGCGTCTCACAGCTCGGGAACAAACGCAGCTTCTCAAGGGTTTGTGTCTTGGCAGGATCCTTCAGAGCCAGACAGCTTTTTTTAAACTTTTCAATAGGTTTTTTTTAGAGTCGATGCTGTTTTTAAGATCCAGGAGTGTTAAACCCATCCCAGTGACAGCTGCTTTTTTTGCACATTTTCTGAGCAAGTGTTCAAAATAGACAATGGCAAATGTTCTGCTACCAAAACCTCCACAGAGCCCACAGAACTGTGTTATGAAGAATGTGTATACCAAAATATGTATTTACATGGATAAATATGCCTTAAAGACTAAATATGCATTTACTTCTAAGGCTGGATCAGCCTCGTGCCCGGTCTGGAGGTAAATAATCCATATTTCACAGCTGCCATGGAGGGGGTGTTTCTTTGGAGGAAAAAAAAAGAAAAGGGGAGGGTGGGGGAGCATTTCTTTTAAAAGAATCTTCAGTAGTTTTAAAATCCTTGCATGAACTGCCACGTGTGAGGAGGAGTGGGGAGAGGATGAAGCTGAGCCTGGCCCTCCAGCACGGGCAGTGCGGGGTCTGCTGTGGGGCTGGCAGGGCTGAGGTGCCACCAGAAACTGCCACATCCTCTCCCACATCCCCCACACACCCCAATCCCTCCGAGCTGGGGCAGAGTGAGGGGCCTGGGTGCTTCCCAGTCCCACAGGGCTGTGGGAATGGGGCCACCCACCCACAGCCTCCTGCACGCTGCAGCTGGCAACCAGGGTCCTGGGAAATGAGGAAATGCTGACAAAAAAAAAGGGAATTTAAAAAACAGGAATTAAAAATTCTCCATTCTGCCTTAGTAGTATTGAGAGCAGAGGAATCCGTGCTGGCTGGGCAGGGCAGGGCAGGGAGGAGCTGGCTCTGGATTTGGCCAAGGGGGATGTGGTGGGACAGGGACCGTGGCCGCGCTGGGCTGGCTCCTGGTTGGTGTTCCTGCCCTGAGCTCCGAGGGCAGGGCAGGGATTTGTTCTGCAGCCAGCAAAGTCCTTAATCTACCTGGAAACAGGCAGGGCAAGGCAGTGGCACAGAGGTCTGGGGCTGATGGGGAAGGGATTCTCAGCAAATCCTGCTCTCGGAGCTTTGTGTGAGCAAGGGCTTTACCGGGGCACCTTCAGCGCTGTTTGCTCTGGCTCCTGATGCCTAATTCATGAAGAGCTCCAAGGCTCCTTTTTATTAGAAAATTCTCATGTTAAAAAATGCCGGGATCAGCATATTTGCCACCTCTCATAAGCTGAGTTCTCAGTCATTCATATTTCAGGGCACACGGAGCGCTCCCGATGAAAATGCGCATTGTGGGATGGGGGGAGCAGGTCCCACCCACCCAGCAGCTCTGCCCTGGCTGGGATGAGCTGGGAGAGGCCCTGGGGGCTCAGGGGGTGCAGATCAGTCCCAGGTGCTGGCTCCATCACCCCCACTGCCAGAGTTACCCCCAGGGTTTCTCCAATTATTTCCCATCCCAGGGAAGGGACTGTGGCAGGCACCTTGGCTCCCTCCCTGCACAGACCTGGGCAGAGCAGGGCCTGGGCTGTCCCACAGGGAGCTCAGAACCCCCAGGAGCAGCAGTGACAACCAGCCCAGCCCAAAGTGGCCCCACATCCCCAGGCAGTGCCCCAGCCCAGCACGGGGACACAGAAGTGACCCCTCTGCAGCAGTCAGGACAGGGAGGGGACAGCAGAGTGCTGCTCCAGCCACAGGAGCTCCCCTTATCAGCCAGTGCTGGAACACTCATTATCCCCATCCTCTTCTTTCCCAGCTCACAGGCTGCCTGCAGTGATGATCTTTATTGCAGGCAGTCTCCAGAGGGGGAAATCTGTTCCCTCCTTTCAGGATTTCTCAGCAAACCCAGCACAGCTGGCACACGACGCCCTGTGATGTCTGTGCAGTACCATCAGCTTGTCCCCCTGGCAGCCCCGTTAGAGCCAGAGGCTCCCATTAATCCCCACGACAGGCACTTAACTGTGAGCCCCGGGTGAGAACAGCCCTGCCGGCCGAGATGGAGCAGCAGCATCCTCATTTTCCGGTGGGTGGCATGGCAGGGCCAGCCTCCCCTCCCTCTGTTTTGTGGCTTTTTTTATATAAACCAGCCTTTCCTCCTCGGAGGGGGTAGATCTGGGTGGAGGGGCAGCCTTGGAGAGGTGCTCAGCGTTTGTGATGTGTCCCTTCAGGTGGGGCCGGGCAGGAGCTGCTGCACCCCACGGATGAGCCGGGTCCTGGCAGGAATCTGGGCTCTGCAGGAGGCAGCACGGTTCATTAGGCTGGCAAAGCTTTCAAACCTTGAAGGAGCTGCTTTTCCTCCCCCGTTTTAGTGAGCTGCTGAAAGCGCTGAGTTGTTCTTCCACAGGATTTCAAATTCACTGCTCTTTCATTATCCTTGACCTTTTCACATTTTTTACCATAAGTGGGAAAAAAAATTAACTTTGGAGTAAATTACTACAAATCCCTCCCCAAAAACATTTAAAACCAGAGCCTGGGAGGCTGGGACAGGGAAGCAATGACTCTTGTTGCCACTGTTTTCTGTATAAAGAGGATTTAATGTCTGCTTGCCAAGAATTATGGCTCCTAAATCCCTGTGACTCATTTAGAAATGACTTTTAGCTGGACAGGTGCACATATCCTCCCCTGCACTTGGTGTTACCAGGGGCAGAAAGACAAAGTGTGTGATGGGACTGGGCACCTTCCTGTGTGCTGCCCCTGAAACCTTGGTCCCTGTTTTTATCCCTGCCTTTGGTGCTCTTCTCTCCATTCCCTTCTCTTGGTCCCTATTTCTTGGTGCCCTTCTCTCCTTTCCCATCTCCTGGTCCCCATCTCTTGGTGCCCTTCTGTCCCCAGAAGGGGGAAGGGGAAGGCAGGGAGCAGGAGCAGAGCAGGAGGAGGCTGCAGCCCAGGCTGGGCTCCCACCCCATTCCCTGGACCCTAAAAAAGGGATCAGACCAAGACAACAGCAGAGGCCCCCCTGGTGCTCCGAGGGCTGAGGTCCCTCCTTCTTCCCTGGCTCCCAGCTCAGCCTGAACCGACCCAGGAGCTCTGGGATGTTCCTTGGGCTCAGCCC